ACTGCCTGATTTCAAAACGAGGAGTTAAAAAACAGAAGTGATGAAAATTTTCTTCATCAAATAATCTGAAAGAAGTTGTTTACAATTGAACTTCAAACACTCAAACTTTTAATTTCACGGTCAAATGTGGATTGGCTTTTAGAAGCACCGGACCAGAAAACTCAAATTTTGGCCCTTTAGTGGACCGTAAGAACCGTATAAAGTAGGGTCAAAATAAGTTTCAAGGCTTCGTACCGACCTGAGTTCGCACTTCCAAATACGAGCTAATGTGATAACTCCAGAAGGAAGCAGACATGAATGCAAAATTTAATACATGCAAGCTTTGTCAAAAATCGCTACAAAATTGAGCTTTTCTTAGAGTATCACCAAATGAACACCCACAACAGCTTACCACGACATGAATAATTTCCCGACCGCCCGATGTATGCTGCATTTTTAATACTTATTAGGCCGGATGCTTAGCTGACAATGTCCTATAAGGTCCTCTGTAAGAAACACAGACAAAGGACCGCAAAAAACTCTGACGGCTTTTGCGAAAGGCTGTAAGAAGAAAGAAATACACAGCGGCGCGCACCGGAGTCGCTGGTGCGATCATGCGTTTTGCGCAGTTCCGTCCACCACACATTGTCAGCTAAACTTTTTCATTGTTTTACGCTTTGGTGTGTGCGAAACAGTTTTTTTGGTGTGTCTGGTTCCTAAGCTGCGAAATTTTCCACCGAAAATTTCATCGTTATGTGAAACGTAAGTGTATGGGAAAGCTGGATTTAAACTTTTGAACTGCAAATGGACGGGGAACATCCCTCCAAAAATTTAGCTTCCTGACTACCAGGCTCATAACTTCCGTGTCAAAACGTTCTCCTGGCCGTACACAAAATCCAATCATAAATGGGAGCTAATTTTGAGCTTGTGAGGTCTCTGCATATGCGCAAGATGTCATTCTGAAATCTCAGCTTCCAAGCTTTTGTGGTTACCGAGATATCAATTTTCCCATCAAAACTTTCACAGAGTTGTCGTGAGAACCAGGACAACGTGGAAGCTGAACATAAACTAGCGAAATTGCAAGTGGAAAGGTGATATTTCTTTAAAATTTCATCTTCTTAGCTTTCTTATTTCTCGAGATAATAATTTTTCGCAGGAGAATTTCCACGGGACCGTCCTTGGGACCCACACCCATGAGCCGAATTTAGATTTGCGGGGTTAAACGTGGGTAACGAACATTCTCCTAAAATTTCCGTTTCCTAGCATTTATGATCCCCAAGACAACAGTTTTCTCGCCAAATTTTTTTTGCAAGACGTATAAAAACATAAGTGAACGTGACAAAAGGTGCAGTTACATCGGAATTACCCACTGATGTTTGCAGGAAGAGGGGATACTGAACAGCAAATCATGCGCGTAAGAAAAGCTTGCAATAAGTTTTCACGAGAAGCCATTTTTGCCATCCAACTCAACAAAGTTGCTAGCTTCGTAGAAGATGAGAAACAGAACGAAAGTGAAAGAGCAGCTATATTAGACACCAAAGTAAATATCCCTGCCAGAACGCTTCAGCTGGCAATATTTATACTCGCTCAGATAAATCAGATGACAAAAGGTACCGGTCCGACTGTTTAACTATCAACGTATATTTGTTCTCATGCTTTGTCAAACG